TTTAACTCTATAAATTTTTAGATTTTTTTAATAATGATTGATTTTGATACTTTTTAACGTGTAAGAAAGCTTATATTAAATCTAACCATGTCAAGCCAAATTATTTTCAGACTTTAATTTTATTAACATAACTTAAAATATTTTTATCAATTTATTCTCCATGGATCCATTAAAAAAAAAAATCCATTTTAGGGAAATTATTTCCTATATTATAGGAGAGTATATACTCGCAACACTAGGGTTAGCCTAGTGGTGTGGGGTGTGTGTGTTAGGAGTGTGTGTAGTGTAAGGTGTTGTGTTCAATTCCTTGTAACCTCCAAAAAAAATAGGAGAGTATATACTCTTATGCTACTCACCATTTGATTCTCGAGCCACACTTTTATTTTTTAATAAGTGTAAGTCTCACCACACCTTAAGTCTACAATTATGAGATATTTCATCTCTAACAACATGAGAAAATAAAAATCATATAATATATTATGACTTTAATATTTTTATAGTGAATGTAGATAAGTTATCTACATTCACTCTCAAAGCGACGTCGTTTTGAATTAAAAAATATAATGAAAAAGACTATTATAACCCTATAAATTATAATTACAAAAATATCTTAATTTTTGTTCTAAAATGACGTTGTTTTGAGCTCAACGTAGATAACTTATCTACATTAACAGCAGAAAATACAAACTCATATATTATATAAAGCTTTACATTTTCAAGTATGACAAGTCACACCAAACTCATTTTTCTTCTTCCAGAAACCAGATTCGTTGAGTATATCTTTCCAAAGTCAACTAAAAGATATCAATCGCATATATGATTTTTCCATCCTTTTATTAATTACAATCAATTACAATCGTCAAGATTCACTTAAATCATAAAAAATACAAATAAAAACTGTATGGTCAAATGCAACCAATCAATTGTATAGCCAGTGAATAAAAAAATTTATTTTTAATCAGCATGGATTAATCAAAAGAACTGACATATGTTGTTAAAAAAATTAAGAGTGATTAAAATTATATAAATCAATGCAAAACTTCTTGTCGCCCCAAAATGCCTGAATCACTTTTTGTTAGACATTAGTGTATAAAACAACTTATTAACTCCAGCTACGTAATCTAATCACCAATATACAGGTTTCCAAAAAAAAACTGATTTAAAATAAATTTTGGCTGCATCCAAAGAAGGATTGAACATTTACTTAAAAAGAAAAAAAATAAAGGATTGAAGGAACGCAATATGAAGTGGGGAAATCATGGGGTGAGTCCACCGAGCCTGCGTTGGATGCTTAGAGTCAGAATTCAGAACAAACGCAATGAGTGTGTGTATATTTGTTGATTCAATTGTCTTTAGTGGACCCCCCCCTCATGTGATCGGATCCCTTCCTAGTCCCTCGTAGAGTAATAGTGAATCAATATATTCCTTTTCAATAGTGTTTGGAAGAACACTCACTTATATATTAGAAATGAGTATATTTACTCTAATTATTTATAAAATTAATTAACTAATATATATATATATATATATATATATATATATATGAGAAATATTTTTCTTATGTTATTGGAGATGAATTATCTTATGTTAGTGAAACAAAATTATAAGAGAGACCCACATTTGTTATGTGTGTGTAGAAATTTGATTTATCTCATGTTGAATGAGATAAATATAACCATGTATATATATATATATATATATATATATATATACACACACGTAGAATACGATTTTTTATATAAGAGTAAGAATAATAAATTTAATACTAAATCTTAATTGTTGATTTTCATATATCTAACAGTTTTAATTTATTGAAAATTTATAATTAATTAATGAGAGTAAACCAATCAATTACGGTCGTTTCATGCACAGAAATCAATGGCTAAAATTGAGTGTAATATTTATTCTTATATCACGGTAAAAATATCTTGTCCCATATATAAATATTATATTCAATCTGAGCCATTGATTTCTATGCATCAAACATCTATAATTGATTAAGTTATTCCCATTGATTAATTATTAATTCTAAAAAAATTGCAACTGTCATATATATGAAAATCAACGGTTAAGATTAAGTGTAAGGTTTTTTATTCTTACAACGGTATAAAAAGATTATGCCACACACACACACACACACACACACACACACACACACACACACACACACACACACACACACACACACACACACACACACACACACACACACACACACACACACACACACACACACACACACACACACACACACACACACACACACACACACACACACACACACACACACACACACACACACACACACACACACACACACACACACACACACACACACACACACACACACACACACACACACACACACACACACACACACACACACACACACACACACACACACACACACACACACACACACACACACACACACACACACACACACACACACACACACACACACACACACACACACACACACACACACACACACACACACACACACACACAAGTTATCTTATCTCCGACCACCCCAAAACTACGTCGTTTTGAGGTTAAAAGAATTAATGAAGGGTGTTTTGGTAAAATTCATATAATAAACAAACAAACAAAAATACCAAAACCTAACATTCAAAACAATATAGTTTTGGGGTGACCGGAGATAAGGTCACCTCATGTAACTTGATAATTTTTCTCTCTTTCTCTCTATATATGCATCATCATCAGTGTAAAAATAATATGTCTTACACAAAATCTTAACAGTTAATTTTTATACATTTAACGATTATAATTTATTGAGAATTAATAATTAATAAATGAGTGGGACCTAATAAATCTCAACTGTTATATGCATAGAAATCAACAGTTAAAATTTAGTGCAAGACTTATTATTCTTACACCGGTATAAGTTAATCTATCTATCTATATATATATATATATATATATATATATATAGGCAGGATCCTTTGACATCAGTGACAAATTCGAAGTTTGACACCTCATCTGAAAGTCATTAGATCAAAAAAGATCAACGACTCTGATTTGTAAGCATGTGACACCATTGATCTTTTTTGATCTAACGGTTCTCAGATAAGGTGTCAAACTTCAAATTTGACACCGGTATCAAAGGATCTTACCTCATATATATATATATATATATATAAATTTAGTGCTTAGATGTGTATACTTGGATATATAGTTACTACATCTACTCTCAAGTCATCGAAAGGGGTATAAGATTTTTTTTCTTAGTTAATGAGCTCCATGAATAATGAGCCTAAACTTAAATAACATGTACAAAATATATTGATTTGTTATTAAAAATTATAAATAAAAATATAATGTGATTACGTTAAAATGAGATATTAGATAATTCATTATTATTGTCCACCTTCTTATACCTCTTTTATTGAAAAAATACAATTTAATGAATGAGGTAGAAGAGAGGGGTGGGTCTAGTGTAGTGGCATTTGACCCACTGAAATATGTGGTTGGTCTTTGATATTTTAGCTTGTTTAATTGTGGGCTTAAACAAGCTGTGTTGTTTAACTTGTGGGTCAACAAAGGCCGAACACTAGAAAGAAACCAAACGGGCTAACCGTATGAATAGGTGAAATATGATGCTCTCTTTAATCAGAATCCAGGAGCTTCGATTAGCTTTGTTTTCTTTGTTTTTTTAATTTTAAATATTCATTGCAAAAAATTGCATTTTATGAATTAATTCTCTTAAAAAATTAAATTTTTGAATAAAAATAAATAAATAATTTTATTATATTTTTAACTCACGGCTTTATTTTAGAATCCTTTAAATTTTAAAGCAAAAATAATACATAGGTCTTTTGATTTTTTAATTATCTTGTGCTTCACTTTAAAGCATTCATGCAATGCTCATATTACATTTTTGTATACTTTGATTAAAGCACGCACACACATCCACATACATGTATATTTTTTGGAATACTTATTATAATTTCTATAATAACTTGATATTTATATATGAATTTTTCATTAATTCATCGATTACCCAAATAGTTTAGATTAATAAATATTTATTTTAATTAAAAATAAAAAATTAATATTATTCTCATCCTTACCCTAAAATGCTAGGTTATATCTTTGTTGCATGCATAGTTTTGGGAAAACTCAAGGACTGGTAGTACAGTTGTAGTATGTGCACCGGTTTGGGTTGGTCTTAATGATGGGTTTGCGCCATAAGATGCTGGGCTTATGTACTTGGGTTCAGGCAAATTGGTATCAGGTCAAAAGCCTTGATGTTATATTTCAGGGATTAAGTTTCTCTAAGAAATGAAATTATTTTTTACAATTCAAAATAGAGAAAAGATTGATCAAAATGATAATTATTGATGGACAAAAATCAACAGTTAAGATATAATTGTAAGAGATTGTAAACAAAAATAAATTGTAAGAGTAATTTTCTTCTTCAAAATAATATTATTTTGTGGTTTGAAAAAAAAAGTATTTTAATAAAATTTATAATATAAAAAAAGGAAAAATTTAAAAGAATACCATGCACTTTTTTTCTTAAATCTCAAAACGATATAGTTTTGATATTGCAATCTTATATATAGTAAGAAAAACACTTTAGTGAAGAAAAGAAGAGGCTAGAGTAGTGCGACCTCTCTAAATTCATATACATCTTATATTGTAAGTATTATTATTATTATTTTTTTTTTGTTTTCATTATACAAGTTGTTATGACACATAATGGTGTTATTTTGATCAACCATATTATTCTAACTGGACTAAAACTATTTTCCCAGTTAGATAGAAAAATACTTTATAGACATAAAATATTTTTACATAACAAAATCATGTAAAGTCTTAAAACATAAAAAAATTAAAAATTTTCCTATAGGTTGTTAAATTTTTATTGATGTTACTTAGGATTAAAAAAAAAAAAAACATTTTCAAATTTTATTTATTTATTTATTTCAGCCCTTGAAGGATGTTGAAGCCAGTTAAGTGAAAAGAGAAGAAAAACCCTCCATTTCCAAAAAGCAAAGGCAGAAAGATACAGTGATGTTTTCTACTTTGCGCCATCTCTGTACAAGCACCGGCACCAGCACCAGCACCAGCACCACCTCAAGAATCCCTTGGAGGTATAAGAAGCTTGCTGTGACACAAGCACAGCATGCCCTCACTGATTACCTTCATGCCACAAGGAGCATCCCTTATCCCTATGCTGACCAGATTGCAAAGAATTCCCTTCTCTCTCTCACCAATCTCATTTCAAAGGTCCCTTTTTCACCTTCAAATTTCTCCCAGAACCTTGACAAGTTCCTCAGGTACAACCCCATCAATGAATTTGAGTTTTTCTTTGAAAGCATTGGCATACATTATACTCAACTTCATGCTTTGTTGCCTCCCAACAAGTTCTTCTTTTCTGAAGATGGGTCCCTTCTGGATGCTGCTTGTGCTCTCTCTGAATTTGGGTTTCCCTGGGATAAGCTTGGGGTGTTGTATATGGAGAGTGGTTCCGTATTTAAAAGGAGTGCTTTAGAGTTGAAGGGTAGGCTTTGTTTGTTCAAAAGATATGGTTTTTGTAATGCACAAGTCACTGGGATATGTTTGGCTTTCCCTTTTGTTTTTTGTGAGGAGGAAGGCCAATTGGGTGCTCTGATTGATGGGTTGTTTTCTGATCTGAAAGTGGCTTTTTGGGATTTTGATTTGGCAGGTTCTGTTGAGGGGAATGTGGAGGCTTGGCATGAGGTGTGTAGGAAAATTAGGGTGTTTTACAAATTGAATGGTGACAAGGTTTTTAAGATAGGGGATCTCATTGGAAGGAATAAAAGTGTCATTCTTGAGCATGGAGAAGAGGAGTTGATTCAAAAGGTTGAGTATTTTTGTAGTTTTGGTGTCAAGAAGGAGGAAGTGGCACGGTTTATTCTCGAGGGCTCAGAATTGTTGAATCTTGATTTGGAAACGTCGGTGATTAATGTATTGAAGCTATTGAAACACCTTGGAATGAGTTCCAAAGATATTGAGGATGTCAAGAGGGATTATGCTCATGTGTTGGGAACAATAAAAATGGCTAATCTTCCTAATGTAATGAGGGCTTTGGGTTTACGGGAGTGGTTCTTTAATAAAATCAAAGATGGGAATCATCATTTGTTAGTGGGTTATATCACAAGCTATCCCAATGAACCCCAAGATAAATATTATCTTGGTGGTTTAGAGGCAGTTAGTGTTTCAAGAACCCCAGTTCACAATATGAATAAATTGAATTTCTTGCATGCATTGGGCTTTGGAGAAAATGCTTTGACCATGAATATCTTAACCGACTTGCATGGAACAAGTAGCGAGTTGCAAAAAAGATTTGATTGCCTTCTACATTCAGGTATTGAATTCTCAAAGCTGTGTAAGATAATCACAATTCGACCTAGGATTCTAAGCCAAAACCCTGAAATTATAGAACAAAAGATTAATTTCCTCTGTCGGGAAATGGGACACTCCTTAGAGCTTTTGGACATTTTTCCAGCATTCTTATGTTTTGACTTAGAGAAACGTATTAAGCCTAGGTATAGATTCCATATGTGGATTATGCAAAAGGGTCTGTGTGCCAAAAACTATTCCATTGCAAGCATGATTGCGACCAGTGACAAGAATTTTGTTGCTCGCATTTTTAAAATTCACCCAGCTGCTCCGAAACATTGGTTTGAGCAATTCTATAACAGCAAATTGCTAGTATGATGACCATGATTTTTTACTGTTGAGTATGAACACCAGCAATCATTCCAAATGATTTTGTACAGATTCTTAAACCTGGTTAGTAAGTGCTTCCTAACTTTTGGAATTGAAGAATGACCTGCAAATGTCTTATCTTGCGTTGCTTCATTTCCTATGACGTGATCTCAGTTCTAAGAGAAAGAAACCACAAATTTTGTGAACAATTATCATGCTGCTTCAAAGTGTGATTATATCAGAGGTATGACAAGTAAACTATCTGTAAGTATTTGTGCTTTCTACTTGACTTCATCGTTTTCATGTTTTCACATGAACTTGTTTTTCCCTTTTCTATTTTAAAATTTATGCTGTTACGATGTGATAGACCACCATTTAAAAAAAGGTATAGTAGGAGAAAGGGCAGGACTGCTGGGAATTCAAACTAAAAGATGCTGACATGGAGTGTGTGAGTTTGTTAGGAATATTTTAAAAGCTGTCATGAGAGAATATATGAGAGGAGAGGGGGGAAGTGAAAGGGCATTGAAGGAATTGGTTAGTTTTGGGGTAATTGGGAGGAAGTTGACCTCTCTAAGTGTCAGCATTGTATCTTTTGTTTCCATATATTTTCTTTTTCTTGTTTAACCAGTGTAATTTGCATTCTTACGGTATCATCGAATACCAATACACGTGATTCTGGTTCTTGCTTTTAGTACCCATTGGTTCTGTTATTGCCTCACCATTTTATTTCTGATGCCCATCATGATGTAGGACAAAATTCCTTGGAATCTATCTGACTACTTGTAAGATGGTAAAGGCAAAAGGTTGGCTCATATACTGATACTAAATGGCCAGATAAATGAGAAGAAACACCTTTAATATATATAACAATTCTTTATTACATTGTAAAAGATTCTAAGATATTGCCAATGGGGGTTGACTTACATGGTCGACCTTCTACTTATGAAAATTACATGACTTGGGTTTGAACCTTGACCACCACCATGGCTATCTATTACCCAATTATATCTTAGTGTGTGTTTAAATATCTTAGTTTTATGCACAGTAAAAATTTATAATCAAAATGCTATGGAGAACTTGTAGCTGAGAAGATTTATTTTTTATTTTTTTTTGTTTTAAATAAAAATTAAGCAAAACCAGAAATGTGCTTACTTTCTCACCAAGAAGATAATATAAGATTTCAGAAAACATCGATATGAACTCTAAGGTTTTACCATGTCTGAATATAGAAGATGAGATTATCCTAATTATTTCCCAAGATGCCAATTAATACTAACAAACTAACAATATAAGTATTTCCTAATGAATAATGATATATCTCTTTCTCTCCCTCTCTTGTTGCCTTTATTGCCAAATTCAGGTGACAAGTGCACTATTATTGGATCTTGATGTTGCTTATGATTAGGCCTTTTTTTTATTTTTGATAAACAAAAGGCCTAAGCCCAAAAGAAACAGAAAAGAAACAAACTAGAACCTACACACCACTGCCCTAGTCCTACTGACAGCAGATATGTCACCAAGAAGTAAAAACTGAACACCAGGAGGAGGATCCCTCCAAATTTGATACAGAAGATTGACATCCGTATCCAAAATATGATTAGCCATCCAATCTGCATAGACATTACCTTCCCTGTAGGTATGATTAGGCCTTTTACTTTTGCATGACTTTTCTCAATGATTTATTTCCTTTCCCCCATTAAGATTAGTTGTATATCATTTATCCAAAGAGTTTGGTTAAAAAAATCACAGAAGATAATCTGGCATAACTGGATAATCTTCATTTTATGGTTGTTTTATTGTGAGAACAAGTCCAATCCATCCTTCACCAGGGAGGGTGGGTCTTAGAGTTACCTACTATTATTTAACCATATTAATGGAGCCCAAAAATAAAAGCCGAAAAATCAATGAAACCCTTGCATAGAAGATCATTTTATCATTAGTGTAAACTTCCAAGTTGCTCAGTTTATATAAATACCAGTATGAAAAGTGATAAGAAATGAGATTATTGCAAATAATATTAGGTGCAGTTTAAAGCAATTATAACACTGCTGCATGTTACACAGGAGCGATATTTCTGTGAAAGGGAAAAAGTTGAGGAGAGAGAAGAGAGATTTTTTTTTTAATCTAGATGTCAATTTTTTAGTGGAAGGACTATGGTGGTGGTGAAGCATATTAAAAATTTCGGTTACACGGAGTAATCTTGGTTTGCCTATTTTGCAGAAAAAATTGTAACTTTTTTCTGAATGCAAGTATATGCCAAGCCTGTGTTTCTCGATTTCTGAAAGTTCATAGGAACATCCATTACTAGCTCTTGTAATGTTTTGGCCTTGGATAGGGTCTTGTTTAGTTGTTTTACTCTGTTTCTTAAGACAGTTTATGTAACAAACATCATGTGTTTTTACTTTCATTTGAGAATTTTGTGGAAGTTCCGTGAAAAATCAGTTCAGAATTATGTGGAATTATCTTAAACTAGTATCTGCCACAGTGAAATATACTTCAGTGTTTATTACTGTTCAATCATACAAAAAAATTATTTATGAGGATAATCTTATTCTGGTAACTATTAGTATCTTAATTTTTGTTTTATACATTAGTTTTTGTTCTTAAGTTGTTTTTGGTTTGTTGTTTCGGAACATTTGATCAAATACGTTCTGCCCAAGCATAAGTTTAACCCCTTGAATGAATTACGGAGCTCTCCTCGTAGTTCAAATTGATTCTGTTTTGTCTTCAATGGTTAAAATTTCTAACATAATGGTGTCATAAAATAGATACTCGTCAGACATTAAGATCTTTGGACTTAGTGCATGTTTAAATTGATAATAAACTTTTACACTTATTCGATTGGATTTTGTTACAATAGACTCAAGCTGAATAATCTTCGGATGGAAGAAAAATAATAGGTACATGTATTGTTAAAAAAAGAGTTTAAAAACAAAATAATAGTTTGATTGTCAATACAAGATAATCGCCAAAATAGCCATCTCCAAATCCGGAAGGTTTCAAAAGAGGAAAAATCTGTAACTGACCAAACCTGAAGCCCAAAATTAAAAGACATCTGAATCAGTTTTTGTATGTGAAAGATTATGTAACTATGTTGAATGTTTTGGGCCGTAGGTCAAATTAGCTAAGTCTTTGGTTGAGTTTTTAGAATTCTGAGTTAGAAGCCCAATGAAGACTTATCAGGTGATATATATTGGAGAATATGAAAAGGAACATATGATGAGTTGAAATCTGTATTTTTTCACAAATAAGAGTTTGTTCAAGTGACACATGTTTAATTTTATTTAAGGGTTTGTTTTTTCTATAGTTAATGTAGATAATTTATCTACATTGAGCCCAAAACGATGTCATTTTGAGACAGAAATCAAGGTATTTTTGCAATTATAATTTATTTCAGGGTTATAATAGTCATTTTCATTATAATTTTTTAATTTTTCAATCCAAAACGACGTCGTTTTGAGAGCGAATGTAAATAACTTATTTACATTTACTGTAGAAATATTAAAGCCTTTATTTAAACAAGATTTTGTGTTCAAGTTCTCGTTAATGTAAAAAATTCTCTTTTGGAATATGCTGAATTGTTGTTGGAGCAGCAAACTCTCTAGCAAATTGATGTAAAAAAAATATTTGCATTTGGGAATGTTGCTTTAAAAGGGAGTTTAAAATTGATTTTGTGTAGATGATACATTAATAATCGTTTTGAGTGTAAATAATATATATTTTTTTTAAATTTTACGAGTCATATATTTAAAATCAGTTTTGGTCAACCAAAAGTTTAAAACTCTTTTTTTTCTCTATTTTTTCAAAATTAATTCTACTCGCTATAAAATTGATTTCGAGAACCTAACATTTTTTTGTGTGTGGAGGTTACAAGGAATTGAACACAACACCCTATACTACACACACTCCTAACACACACACCCCACACCACTAGGTTAACCGTAGTGGTGCACAACCTAACATTTTAACCAAGCAATTCCTATGCAAACCAATTTACAAGGCCTTAAGTCTTAAACGTGATTTCGAGGAAAAACATACGTGCCCTTATAGGGTTAAGAAGTTTCTACTTTCAAGTGTTTTTGGTTGCCTTTCCTATATATAGAAAGGAAATATGAATTCGATATAGATCATGACTTTCATATGACACTGATACATAAGAATTTATCTTCAAAATATTTTTGCTTCCCCCCCCCCCCCCCCCCCCCCCCCTCCTAATTAACTTATGTATACTTATCAGTAGGGGAATCTATTTTAGTAATTTTTTTAAATAAAGTAGAATACTTTCTCTTTTAAAATTATATTTATATTAAATATTATTAACTAAGTAATAAAAGTTATACGCTTATTAATATTATTAATTTGTAACTTTTATTACTTTGTTTATAGTTAAAAGAAAAAATAACGGGATTAATATTTATCATGTTATAGAAGATAATTTTATCTCCTACATATACATAAAAATGTGTGAGTCCTATGTGAGTTTATGTGAAAAGAAGAGAGAGAGAAAAAAAAAATACGAATTTCACACACTTTTATATGTGTGTATGTAAGAGATAAAATTAATTTTTACAATATGAAAAATTCTAATCCCAAAAATAATACACTACCAAAAGTGCATCAACGGGTGTCAAATTATTGTAACTAAATCACTCATCTCGAATTTGAGTTCTAGATACGTAGCTTTATTAAAATTTAGTACGAAATTAAGAATTTTTCTATTCTTGTGATTCTATTTGGATTAGTCAGTGTCCATTGGCTTGGCGACGTGATATCGGGATGATTTATAAAAAAAATAAAAAACAATACAGTTGGAAGATTAGTCAGTTAGACCTGCTTTTGAAGAAACGAAGTGTAAAAGAGAAAAAGGAATGGAAGGAAAATAAAAAGTATAATGAAATTATTCAATAATCTACCAATCCATGTGTCAAAGTGCTAAAATTCCAAGCTGGAAATACAATCCAGCATGTCAAGGTGTAACCACAATTCTTAAACAATGATTGGCTGAGAACATATCCAACTTATCCAATTATGAAAATGGTAAGATAAGGTACTTCTGAGAATGACTCAGGATCACACACACAACAATCATCATCCACCATCTACTTAGCCATAAAATATTATATTATATTTCAGGGTTCTCTTTCATTCTTGTCACATTCTACAAATCAATTGGTAGCAGGGGAAACAAGAGGGTCACTGAGTAAGGAAAAATGGCACAAGCTATGGCATCAATGGCTGGCTTACGTGGTTCCTCTCAAGCTGTGCTTGAAGGAAACCTTCAACTCAGTGGCTCAACACGCTTGAATGTGCATAGTGGTAGCAGAGTGTCATCAACACGTTCAGGGTTCATAGTTAGAGCTCAACAGGTGCATGCTGAGCCACAAAGTAGCCGCAGAGCAATGATTGGTCTTGTTGCTGCTGGTTTGGCCTCTGGCTCTTTTGTTCAAGCTGTTCTTGCTGATGCCAAATCCATCAAAGTTGGTCCTCCTCCTCCACTTTCTGGTGGATTGCGTAAGTTTTTCTTGTTCCTTTTTATGTTACAATTTTCATTATGTATATATATTATGTTTATTGGGGGCAAGCCTTGAGCCGTGCTAAATTGTTACTTTGTTGTTGAAAGGTCATAAATTTGAATTCCAAAAATAGTGTTTTTGCAATTTTACAAGAGTCAACCATCGATAATCGGGATTAAACGGAGAGTGATATATATATGGAAAATAATTATCTCATTTTACATGAGATAATTAACTCATGCACTAGATACAAATTGAATATGAGATCCATTTTAAATTTTCTCTCTCTCCTTTATTTTCTCTCTTCCTCTTCCATATGTGTGTAGGAGATTGTTTTTCTAATGAGAAAAACAATCCCCTATATATATATATATAAAAGAGAATGATCAGTTTATAATTTTTTTTTATAAATTACATTAAGTATAACCAGTCATGCACTCTTAATTAAAGTATAAATTGTAAATTTTTTTTATAAATATAACCTTTTTATATATATAGAGAAAATATAATCTTATTTTGTATAAGAGTCTCCTATTACATGAGATTAATAAAACTCATATATATATATATATATATATATATATATATATATATATATGCAGAACCGAGCAACCCAGTTTGTTATGTCTGTGGCAGATAATTTTTTCTGCCACTGCTGCAGAACCGAGCAACCCTTCTTTTAATGGGTTAAAGGCAAAAGAGGAAAAAAAAAAATTAAGAAATCAGAAATGGGGTTGTTGTTATTAGTGATATTAAAGAGTGGAAATTGAGGATAATTTATAACCATGGTGGGTGTGATGTTATGGAATTTGGCAGCTGGAACATTGAACTCAGATGAAGCAAGAGACCTGGAGCTGCCATTGAAAGAAAGGTTCTTCATTCAACCATTGTCTCCTAGTGAGGCTGCACAAAGGGCAAAGGAATCAGCAAAGGAAATTGTTGGTGTCAAGAAGTTGATAGACAAGAAGGCATGGCCATATGTTCAAAATGATTTGCGTTTGAGAGCTGAATATCTTAGGTATGACCTCAACACTGTCATTGCTGCAAAGCCTAAGGACCAGAAGCAATCCCTTAAGGAACTCACTGGCAAGCTCTTTCAGGATATCGGCAATGTAAGTTGAAAATGAAACTATCCCATAGCTCTTTATCAATTGAAGATTGTGAAAGTTTAGAGTAATTAAAGTTTCTTAATTTTTTTTTTTTTTTTTTTCACAGTTGGATTATGCAGCTAAGAAAAAGAGCTCCACACAAGCAGAGAAGTACTATGCTGACACTGTATCTTCTCTGAATGACGTCATTGCCAAACTTGGTTAATATGATTAATTTCTTGCTTTGCTCTGTGTAATCTTTTTTCTCAGACTCTTTGTTTGACTGCTATTTGAAGAAAATCTAATGAGGGAAAATTTGCTATAAATAATTAAGGTTGTTCTCTTTAGTTTTTCAAACCACATATATGCTGCCTCAAATGAAATAGCCTAATGATATCAATATCTCTCTCCAAAACAGAAAAGTAAGGTGTAATATAAGTTTCAATTCTTTTTTTTCAAAGTACAAACAAGATATGCTCCTCCCCTTAGAATTATCTCAGTTTTTATATTAATGTATTAAGAGTATCACATGTGACCCTCACTGACAATAATTGAGATATTAAAGTTTGAGTAAATATCCAACTCATTTTAATCCCTTAGAAAAAAAAAATGACTTGTGGTCATTATGAATTTACAGTTCTTTGAAATTGTGGTTCCTCAGAAATTTAAAGAAGATCTACATTAGTCCATAAAAAAAAGACTAATATAGATTTTTTTTTAAGGGATTAAAATGAATTTTGTGTATTTTTGTCGAGGATCCAAAATGTATTTACTCTTAAAATTTATTAAGCTATGTAATGGATGAAAAAAAAAAAATGTCAACCATTTATTGGTTGTGAGGGCTATACGAAATTATTTTTTTTATGCATAACACAGTTCTGTTTTTATTTAACCACTCTGTTCTTTAATAAAAGTCCTTAGTTCACTTGTTACACTATTAAATTTGACTTTGGATATGCAAGGTCTCGTTATATTGGATATGCAAAATTTACTCCTTTGTGTGTTTAGATTTCATAAAAACTACAATCACACTTGTGTTTGTCAACATAACAGAACCATTCAATTTAAAGTTATATTTCCAATGGAAAAATGCCATAAAATTCAATTTTTGTCGTTATTTTTGGTTTGGATTAAAAAAAGAAGCAATGAATGAGAATAAGCTGGAATTTAATACCGTCAAAAAAATGTTTATACCTTTGTCAATGAGTCATAAACAGTTGTAGCTTTTTTTTTTTTTTTTTTGTAAAATACAGTTGTAGCTTCTTTGTTTTAATTACATATGCAACTTAATTATTTTTAACATTGTAAAATTATTTTCAAATGAAATAATACTATGTATTTATGGCTCACGTAATAGTCTGAATTGACTAGACTCGATAATCTATGGCTCATTAATTAAAAAATAATCATATGTTTTAAGGGAAGAATATCCCTGCTTTGGTTGCAAAAATGTTTTCTGTTAAACTCACGTTAAAATAAGTGAATCTCATTAAATTTTTTATTTTATATTGAGATCCCACTTATCTTTAAATATTTATGGTTCATGTAGTGCACTGAATTTACTAGGCTCATAATCGATGGCTCATTAATTAAAATATAATCATATGTTTTAAGGGAAGAACATTCCTTGCAGCGAGTATTTTTTCTGTCACATAATATAAAAATAAGTGGATTTTATTAAATTTTTGTTTTTGACATTGAGATTCTTATCTATATTTGAGTATATAGGAGAATAAATATTTATGCAGAAATGTTAAACCCACATTTTAATGGTATTAGATGAGAGTTTGGCCTCACTTATTTCTCATTTTTTTAATTACGTCATTTCCACCAATAATAAATGGTTATACCATTAATTCTTCTTTTGAATATATTTAATTATGGGAAAACTATTTCTTCCTTTGCTGCATAATTTTTTTTTGACACACTAAGATAAAAATAAGCGAGTCCCAATATATCCCATTAACTTTTTCTCTTTTTTCATTATTATAAAATCCATTCACTTTTATGTGTGTGATAGAAAATAAATTTATGTGATAAAAATAAAAATATTAAACCCATTAATTATTAGTAGGGGGTGAGATGCAGTGCTACATGGCTTCTTATGGGAGGAGTTCATTTTGGGTGCATGAAATACTACTTTGCCTAAAAAGGAAAAATATAGAATATAGGTGGAAATAATTATAAAGATAAAGGTAATTTTTGGTGTGGCTAAAAGTAATATTTTCCTTATGAGAGAGGTGCTACCCCACCTAAATCCTCTTCCTTTTAAATAAAATATAAATAATGACAGTGAGATCACCTAAGAGAGACACAAGTTTTCATAGTATATCTTAAAAAAAATGCCACATATGATTCTTGCTTTAAACATATTTTTTTAATTCTTTTGGTAATATATAGGGGCAAGATCATCTTACATCGGTGTAAGAATGATAAGTCTTACACCAAATTATAACCATTGATTTTGTGCATCTAACGGTTAAGATTTATTATATCTCACTCATTAATTAATTTCTAAATCTCAATAAATTTCAACCGTTGGATGCACGGAAATCAATGGTTAAGATGTGGTGTAAGATTTATTATTCTTACACCAGTGTAAGTTGATCTTATCCCATATATATATATATGTATATATATGGTCAAATCATTTTACACCAGTGTAAGTTACACTTTCAATCGTGTCCATTAATCTCACTTATATGTGATGTGAGCCATTAGATACAAGTGGATCAATGATCAAGATTGAGAGTGTAACTTACACTGGTGTAAAATGATCTTGACCCATATATATATATATATATATATATATATATATATATATATATATATATATATATATATATATATACGAGAAATTTTTTTTTACAGCCACTTTAGATAAGATTATCTCCAGCTACTCTAAAAACGACGTCGTTTTGATTAATGAAGAGTGTTTCTGTATTTTACGTGAATTAATGAAGGGTGTTTCATAAAATGTAATGATAAAAAATAAACAAAATTATGGAAACACCCTTCATTAATTCACTTAAAATTACATAAACACTCTTCATTAATCAAAATGACGTAATTTTTGAAATAATTGTAGATAACCTTATCTAAAGTGGCTGTAGAAATGTTTATCCATATATATATATATATATGGGTTTAGCGGATGTATAGTGACTGCACCTAAGGACTGGTGCACTCATATGAAACTACATCGTTTTATAGTGTGAAAGTATTTAATATTGGGAATCATAACCATACAAAGACGAAAATAAGTATAAAGAATTAAATATGAGTAATCATAACCATACAAATGTGGAATTGAATATAATATTTCCATTTTCTATAATTAATTTTGAACGCGAACTTCATTTATCCTACTCATAACGACGTAGTTTTTAGGTGACTGCACCAATCTTTATATGCAGTCACATTACAAATCATTTTGCCCCCCCCCCACACACACACACATATATATATGGGCTTAGTGAGTATCAAGTGACTGGATGTAATTTTGGTCCAGTGCACTGTATTCTCCCGCGAGAATATAGTGCAAAAAATATTATAACTATGTTCTCCCGGGAGAACACCTGAAGAACACCATTGTAATATTTTTGCACTATATTCTCGCGGGAGAATATAGTCACAATACACTCACTGGACAGTCCAGTGACTGAATTTTGAATTTTTCGATATATATATATATATATATATATATATATATATATATATATATATATATATATATGCTCTACCAAATTATTTACATGTCACTATACCATTAATTAATCATTTAATTACACATCATTATAAATTAATTAATAAGAAGCAATGTGACAATACACACTTGTCCATTTAATGGTTATCTCTTAAAAAATAATACATGATGGTCTATTTCGTAAGTAGGGGTGGCAAAACGTGTCATGACCTACAGGTCGACTCGCAACACGACTGGCTAAAATGTAGGTCCATAAAATTGATTGTGTATAAATTTAAATGACATGAATTAGTGTCATGTCGTATTACGGGTTGACCCATATGACCCACATGTCAACCCGCAAAATTTTGTTTTTATAATTTTTGTTTTTTGAAATTTTGGTATCATGGGTCATCCATCAACCCACATATTTTATTCACTTTTTCCCTTTTATTTTTAATTTTCATAGGAAAAATTTAGATTATCAATTTTTGCGGGTCAACCCTTGTTACCCACGACAGATCGTATTCGAGTTTTATTATTTGATCCGCCAACAAAAATGAGTCATGTATGGGTTGAACAATTTGACCTCCAGGTTAGACTTGACACAACACGAACTACCGAGACATTTTACCACCATGGTAGACGTTATGTGGATTAATCCTCCTCCTAAATGTTGGCTGGTGTTATTGTTTATTGTTTTTTAAAAGAAAAAGATCCTAAAAGGAGTAATAGCTCTCTAATGGGCGTAAGCATTGTTGGTGCCCCGTTGTAGGAGTACCTTCCATTATTAATTTTATTAAAAATTACAAGAGAGATTGCAAATATGAGGTGTTATAGATTTAAAATGATTTTTAATAATCAGTTTACATTTGTGTAAGTTATATTTTTAATACTTTTCATTGACCTTATTTGTATTTAAGTGCTCGTACTTATTAAATATGTGAGCTCCTAAATATAAGCAGATAAATGATCAAATTAGACATAAGACTTCTTATTTTTATATCGAAGTAAGAACAACCTATCTCTTTATATAAATATAAAATTAAAAATTATTTAAAATTATGAAGAAGATATATGTAACTAATTCAAAAGAATATACATTTTAAATTTAAAAATAAAATTAATAATGACATGTGTAGTTCTTTAAAATAGAGCAAACTAAAATACTAATTTAATGATACAAAATTTTAATGATACAAAATGTGATAGAACAATTACAATTTAAAAGAGGTAGAGTTAGACAGAAAACAGAAAGGTTGCAAAAAAATAAGAAGTATTATGAGAAATTATGAAACTTACAAGTTTGGAAGAAAATTCATTTTGAATTTTGAATATTTTATGATTTGAAGTTATGAAACTTACAAGTTTGGAAGAAAATCGATATAGAATTTTAAATTTAAATACTTTTGAATTAATTACATATATCTTCTTCATAATTTTATATAATTTTATATTTAAATACAGAGATAGGTTATTCTTACACTGATAAAAGAATAAGGAGTCTGACGCCCAATTTTGATCATTAACCTGCTAACATCAAGTAGCTCACATATTTAATAAGTAAAGCAGTTACATATAAATAGGATAAATGAAAAGTATTAAAAATTATAACTTTCACAGACGATAAACATGATCTAACCCTTAAATTAATCAT